ATATAAAAAATAATTCGTAAAAAATATATTGATCAAAATACCCCTAAAACATTTCGGGGGTATTTTGATCGATTTATTTCATGTAAAATATTTTTTTGATATTTTCCGTAGATTCTTCTATTTTTTATGAACACACATTCCAAATTTAAGATCATTTCAATTTGTAGAAAAAAAAATGAAAAATAAAATACTACCAGACAATCATGACCATGCAATGAACTTTGGGCAATGATGAGGATAAGCGAAATCATGTTTCATTTTCACCTATGCATTTTGTAGTATCTTATATATATATATATATGGGAAAATATCTTGTCAGCCCACGGGCTGATAGCTACAGTGTCAACCAATGACCCATATTGAATCTGGATCGATCTAATGGTCACGACCTCATTTTATGTTTGAATTTTTATTTATTTTTCTATATATCCAAATCACTTGAAATTTGAAGAATCTATTCTTCAAAAATAGAAGAATCTAATAAAAATATAAAAATAAAACTTCAAAAAATATAAATTGACCAAAATATAAAAAAAACTTAAGAGACTCTAAGTTTTCTCTAGGTTTTGCCTAGAGTGAATAACCTATCAAAATACAAAGGTTAATGTTAGAATGAATTGTATTGAGTGTATTTATAAAAACATCATTAAATTTTGTTTAAAAATTATTTTAACAGATAACTTAATTATTAAGTAATGACAAATTTGAAATTTTCGTAAAAATACAACACTATTTTAGAAATGGAAAAAGTTTATATAAGGTTGCAAGCTTAAAATGTAGAATTGCATATGCACCTCAAAAATTCGTCGAAAAATATTATTTTAATGTTGAGAAAAACCTCTAATTGATCATCTCGACATCGAGATATATGAATAGAAAAAACAAAAAGATTTTGAGTCTAAAAAATAGTGCATCTTGCAATACATTATCTAGATTATCTATTTTCAAGATTTTCATATATTTATAGATCTACTTGATTTTAACCAATTTTGGAGTTTAAAGTTTTATAATTAGATTTGAAAATAGATTTTGAGATAATCTTAATTATATTCTACATCAAAATTATACATTGTGATAAAATTTGAAAGTACGTCTTAAATGGATTGTTTTAGGTTGTAACTTTATGGAAACAACGCCTTTATAAAATTAAATAAAATGATATTTTTAAAATATTAAATTGTTAATCTCTCGTGAGTAATTGGATGATTTTTTTTTTTATATTTTTTAGATCAATTCAAGCGTATCTAGATTGCATGTCCAACAATCCCATTATAAGAGATCCGCCCTAGGCTTTGAAACACATGTAAATTGGAGGGACGGTGTCTCGTAGCAAATGGCAGCACATGTAAATTGGAGGGAGGGCAGCGTCTCGTTGTAAATCGCAAATGAAGCGTGGAATCAAACCGAAGCGTGGCGCACGTGAAAACTTGTTGCGTTTGCGGTACGATCTCTCTCAACTGTGAGACCTGCAGTCTCAGGTCGTTTTTTAGAGAGAGAGAGAACGAAGTCTTTTTAGAGAGAGAAAAAGAGAATCGCAGAGAGACAAAAATAAGCTGCCCTGAATAGGAAACGCAGCAGGCTTTCCCACGAAGGAACCTGCAAATGTATAGTTGTCTCTGTAGCTCTTAAATGGAACTGGGATTGAGCCTCCATAAAAGTATTTGTATTGAACCCAAAACCCATTTCTTTACTCGAACCTCCGTTTCCAGGATGCCCAAATTTATGGCCCCTTCTTGGGCTCCAATTTTGAACCACACTTCATCACTGCGCTTGCAACCCCTTCCCCCCTCTGCCGTTTCCATGGATTCTTCAAGGTATGGTGATTCTTTTGCGCTGAATACCGATGGGGTTCTGGTACTTTTGTGGGTTTCGTTTGTAGGTGCTTCTTGGTTTGTGGTCTGGTTTCATTATCACTGATAAAATTTCTGGGTCTTTTTGGTCCCTCTGTTTTTTTTTGCGGATTTGGTAATTCGTCTTGTTTTTTCTATTTTCTATCGATTCTTCACTGAGAAGTAAGAGTTGGGTTTTTGTTTGTCTGATTTTTTTTTTGTGGTGTTTTCTGTATATTCATCCCGATAGATGGTATGTATTCATTCAGATGGATGGTATGTATTCAATTTTCTTGGTAACATTTTATTAAGGTTTTATACTCTTATTGCTGATTTTTTCTTTTCTCAATTTCTGAGAATATGAATTACTTGTGTCTTTTCTTGTTTTTGGGCTTCTTTTGTCCATGGAATGCCTTCAAATTGGATGATTTATGGACAATAACTGAAATCTTAAACCTGATTTGTTACGGTTTCATGCTTTTCTCGGTGTTTTTGTTGCCTTCTGTTTGCCAGTTCTTCTTCTTGATTGTTATTAAGGCATCAGAGTGGACTGTTTTACTTCTTTGCTGACTTCGGGTTCTTTCCTTCCATTCATGGAATATCTTAAAGATTAGAGAATGAGAGGTTGGACCTCAGCAAAACATTGACTTTAGACAGTATAAGGGAGTCCTTGATTCGGCAAGAAGATAGCATAATCTACAACCTCATTGAGAGAGCACAATATTCATACAATGCTCCAACTTATGACCCAGAATCATTTCAGTTGCCTGGTTTCAATGGCTCGTTGGTAGAGTACATGCTTAAGGAGACAGAGGTTCTACACTCCAAGGCAAAGTCTCAAGTTTCTCACTTTTTCTTTAATTTATTTCTAACAGTGATTGGTTATACTTTCCTGGCCTTTTTTGAATTGAGAGACATGATTTAATGTTTGACAATCAAAAAGAAAAAGACATGGGTGTTTTTTCTCTTAGCTATTTTAGTCGCTGTACATAATTTTTGCAACTTAAATTGACTGGTTTGAAATCTGGTAGGATGGGCATCCCTTGCAATGCAAGGTGCCTAGCTTGAAAACTCTATTAGGTGATTACTAGGACATAATCATTTTTTGGGGGGATTTCTTATTTGGTTCACGAAGATGAATAATATTCAGAATAAGGAATTAAGGTTTCTTTAGGTCGTAGTAACCCATGCTTGTGCCATATGAGGCTTGTAATTAAGGTTGTCTCTCTATTCTCTGTCGCAAAAATTGTAATTATGATCACTGTAGCCCCTGAAGCATTTAATGTTGGGGTATTGTTGATGCTTGTAACATAATCTTGAAATGCTTTCTATCCACCAATATCTTCACTTCATGTATTACACTGATCGATTGAACTCAGGAATGTATTTTTGGTTGATTAAGAATTTCCATTCATCGCTTCAGTAACTATGATGTGATCTACATAAAGCAATTATGAGATAATCCTGAAATCTTGAAACTTATATAAATTGAACTGAGGTAATTATCTTGTTCAAGAGGGTTTCCAAATTTTGCAAACTATTTCATTGGAACCACAATTGTCCACAAGTTACTCTTCGCCTTTTGCGACAATAAAATTCTATTATCCACCCACTTTTTGTATAGAGATCAGTACAGAAATCTCATTTTCGTAAGTGTGTAGCATGCTCAACCTGTGGGACATCATACCTCTCTCTTGTCATGTTTTGGAATTTTAATGTTGTCCTTGACTTTCTCCCCTCCCAAAAAAAAAAAAACGTAAAAAGAAAATCCAAAAAAGCCTGATTAAATTCTATAAAGGATGTTTTTCTGTAGGGGTCAATGAGCTCCCTCCGAGCATAACCAATCAATTTCTATATCTACCTCAGCGTTTATAAGAAATGCTCTGAGAGTATCTTTACATTGTGTTAGTGTGTTACAATATGCAACAATTTTCATTCTCTAGACTGGGTCTTTATAATATTATTTTGAATATACAAGTTTCAGATTTTTCTTTGTACTGCTGATGCAAACCTAGATAATAATTTTTTGTTGGATGGGTGTGCTCGAGATTCAGGTCTATACCTTAGGGTTGTGATCAAGAGCTCCATACAACTAGGCTAAACAATAATATAAAATGGGAGATATGGAAGGCATGTAATGAAGTTGTCTTCTAGTTCGAAAATATCTTGCTTTATTGATTCAATGCCTAATATAGGTTCACACTGCAGAGTAGAAAAAAAAAGTTCTTTTAGGGTTGGTGAAAGAGTGATGATGATATGAAATACATGCATTTAGTAGTGATGGATGGGAAAATTAGATTCGAATTGGACAATTTATGGCCAATATGACAATCTTTTAAACCAAAATGTGGCAAACATCATTTGAAGCATTGCTACATTTAGCTGTCTACAAACATGAGCTGCAGGTCCGTCTGGAATTGCTTTCACTCTGTTCATGGGGGCTCTAAAACCATATGAATTGGATTAGGATTGGGGCAAATTTATGGTATATAACTAATAGTACAGGCTTTTTAACCCAAACATAGCAAAAACCATTTGAAGCATAGCAACAGCTCCATCTGGCAATATTGCTGTCTCTCTTTGCACTGGGGCTATAAAACCACATGAGTTGAAGTTTAAATCCAGCTCTTCATCCTCAAAGTGCATCTTGGCCATAAAGTGCTGCGCTTTGGTGTTTGGTTTTGTGCACATAGCAATTTTATTGTCAAAGGCATTATTTTGCTCCATGTTGCTATAAGTGAAATTGTCACTTTCTTGCAAATAGAGAATATTTATCTGCTATAAAGCATGGATACCTCCCACTATTGATACATGATCAATAAATCGATTAAGTGTATGATGTTAAACTATTCGTTGCCTTCCATTTCTATATCGCAACTCCAGTTCATAAAATGTACAATTCATTAAATACTCACTCCATCCTCATAATTCAGGTGGGCAGATACAAAAGCCCTGATGAGCAACCCTTCTTTCCAAATGATCTACCGGAGCCATTATTGCCACCTCTCAATTACCCACAGGTGAACTTAGTAGTCATTAATTTAACTATGTTTATGCATGTTATTTTTTAGTCTAACTCATTTCTTGTCACCGCATCATAGGTATTACATCCTGCAGCTGCCTCAATTAATATAAACGACACCATTTGGAAGATGTATTATGATGAACTTCTCCCAAGATTTGCTGCTGAGGGAGATGATGGCAACTATGGCTCTGCTGCTCTCTGTGATGCCTTGTCCTTGCAAGTAATAAGTCACAACTTCTCAGGGAAAATATACTAGGATGCAATGGATCTTGGAAAACTATAGTCCGTTGGATTACAATATACTTGGTTTTCCCAGTTTTTTTATCTCCATGTGCTTTGTCATTTTGGATACCAATAATTCTCTGTAGAATAAGTAGATGTCATGACACCTGGCAGGCACTCTCTAAAAGAATTCACTATGGCAAGTTTGTGGCAGAAGCCAAGTTTAGAGACTCCCCACAAGAATACACTCCTGCAATTCGTGCTCAGGTATGATTTGTTGCTTCTCAAGATTGATCGGATAAGCTTGAAAGCAAGTGTACCAGAACCCAATGGACTTAAAAATATCGTCACTTTTCTATGAAATAATGGGTGATGAATTACAAAGAGTGGAGCCCAACATTGGGGTCATGCCCTGTTTTCATGGGCGTCATTTTCTCTCTTTCACACTCCACTTCAATGAGCGGAGATGGCCTTATTGATTGTTGTTTTTCCATATCCCATCGTACTACTGTAAAATTCCCTTTATTTAGAAAAGGGCCTATCTGATTGTGATTTTGTGCCTTTCAGGATAAGGATGCACTTATGAAGATTTTAACATTCGAAGCTGTGGAAGCCATGGTTCTGCGAAGAGTGGAGCAAAAGGCTATGGTATTTGGGCAGGAAGTAAGCCTTGATGGCAAGGGTAGTGAAGCAGTCTACAAGATCAAACCATCAGTGGTTGCTCGACTCTATGGTGAGTGGGTCATGCCGCTTACAAAACAAGTTCAAGTTGAATATCTGCTTCGCCGGCTTGATTGAGACTTAGATGTCTTGTTGAAATAAATCCCCTGAATTGAAAGGCGCATCTGCAGTGCTCCTATATATTTTCTAGGATGGGATAGTATCTCTATCTTTGACCTTTTTTAATGATGTACCTTGGGTTCATTGTGGATCTGTTATCTGGTCCTGGATACAACTTGTTGTCATGGATTATGGAATTTGCTTTCATAATGGTTACGTGTCTGTCATTGTTCTGCAACATGATACCGATTGTATAAGGTAAGGGGCACTCTTAGTTAGCTGGGAATTGTAACAAAGAAAAGTCTACGTTTTCCTTGTAGAAGTGTCACACACACACACAGGTGTTCTTCAGCGTTTCTGTGTTTCCTTGTCTTCTTTTGTGGACCCTGGACCATGAGAGAAGTGTTCTCCAGCTTTTCTGTGTTTCCTTGTCTTCTTTTGTGGACCATGATACAGAGAGAGAGAGAGAGAGGTTCTCAGCTTCTCCGTGTTTCTTCCGTGGAAAATGATTGAAAACTTCGCTTTACCTCAATACAAGAAGTAAACATTCTAAAAAAAAATGATTCAAAAAATCTTTTTACTTCATGGCAAGCAAGAGGCCAAAATGTACGAGTGTCATAAAATTCTTGAATTAGATGTAGAAAAACTGGATGATAGATGTTGGTTTTGACATTAAAAGCTGTGAAAAACGGACGCCATTGCTAAAATTTGTACCAAAGCTGATGCCTATTAAAAACAGTCAAAATGTGTTAACAAAAGGCATCTAATAAATCTTTGAATGTAAAAGAAACTTGTATTGGACACTTGAGGAAGACAAAGATGAATTGTCACGCCCCAAGAATTTACAATATTGTTATTTTTGAGATGTGACAGGCAAAACATATATACATCTATTGATAAGACAAATTTACAATGGCGAGATCTTACATAGTAAATAAAGAAAGCTAGCACAACAACAGTATCTTCCAAGGTTGATCTTGACTAGCACTCAAAATGAATCCGTAGTTATCCTGAAAAAATGTTTACCATAGTTTGATGAGTTTGGCTACTCAGTAAGTGATCATCATAATCCTAAAAATAATCATGATTGAAAGATATCAATATTTTTCAAAATGAGATCTCTTAACAGAAATGCATCAACAGTTTCACTTTCAATAATTGCATAATTAAGTATAATTAGAGTAATTGAAATGCTTATAACACTTTTAACGGCAGTACATAATTCAAAGGATTTCACAAAATACCCTACTGGCGTCCCAAGTAGGTCACCTATATACTCCATCAGCGTCCTGATGGGTCCACTTAATCCCTATCGGCGTCCCAGATAGGTCTACTTAATCCCTGCAGGTCCACTTATACCTCACCGGCGTACCGGATCAGTCCACTTAATCCCTACCGGTGTCCCAGATAAGTCCACTTATACCTCACCGGCGAACCGGATGAGTCCACTTGCATACTTAAATTATTTCTAAATCTCTTTAAACATTCGAAAGCAGCAATATCATGTACTCAACATATCACTAAAATCATTAATATGAATTTCACTTAAACCATTAATAACAATCACTCTATATAACATTTCAAAAATAACCAATCAAATATTTTGGGCTCAAATTTAGAAAGGTAGCAGTTTGTAAAGGCATTCTAGCATAATTGTCAATTTAATATGTATAGAAAAACTCTTATAAAAATTCAAGAATACGGAATTATCACAATTTATGGGATATCAATCCACAAATAAACATTTCACAACAATACTATAATCAATTGCAAAAATGTCAATTTTTTTAAATAATAAGGCAGTCATTTGCACATGAATTTTACAATGTCTAAATATTCAAAACAGTAGAAAGAAATATCACAATTTTACTAAATGCAGAAATATCACATTTATTTCTAACAATAAACAAGAAAATAATTATTTTTCTAATTTACTGCCTTCAAAATTTCTAACATAGATAAAATATCACAATTTTTATTAAATTGATTATTTTTTCAAGATAATGAGGTCACGTGCGCATAAAATTTATCGCGCCTAAAATTCATGATAATAAGCAGAAATAATTATTTCATTTCATTTTTAAAAAGAACGGATTATTTTTCGAGACAATGAGGTCACTTACACATAAAACTGATAAAATAAAGATCCTAGACGAAAATATCACTATTTATTAGAAATAGACTATTTTTCAGGAAGACGATGTCACTTACACACAAAACTTATAAAATAAATATCCTGAACGAAAATATCACTATTTATTAAAAACAGACTATTTTTCAGAAAGACGATGTCACTTACACACAAAACTGATAAAATAAAGATCCTAGACGGAAATATCACTATTTATTAAAAATAGACTATTTTTCAAGAAGACGAGGTCACTTACACACAAAACTTATAAAATAAAGATCCTAGACGGAAATATCACTATTTATTAAAAACATACTATTTTTCAGGAAGACGATATCACTTACACACAACTTACAAAATAAAGATCCTAGACGGAAATATCACTATTTATTAAAAACATATTATTTTTCAGGAAGACGATATCACTTACACACAAAACTTATAAAATAAAGATCCTAGACAAAAATATCACTATTTATTAAAAACATACTATTTTTCAGGAAGACGATATCACTTACCCACAATTATTTGAGAGGGAGCTTCCGATAAAAAAATTCGGTTCGAGAGAGAAGTTCACTGTGTTTCGACCAGAGAGAGAGATCTTAAAATTTTCTAGAGTGGGAGTGCCCACCTCCCCTATTTAAATTCTTATAACGTATTATTATAATATTTTGTTACGCTCTACCTCATACCTGAGGTGTCGTGTTAAGCGTCTGCTTTTAACATACGAAAACCACGTCCGTTAAAAGGCATTACCAACTGCAAGCAGCAAGCAAAAGCAAGCAAGCAAAATGAGGCAAGCAAAAGTTAAACCAAGTAAAACTTTTTGAAAATAGTGATGGTCCCCAAAGACCATCATACTCAAACAGACCATCACCTATTTAAAAGCATTT